CAGTGCCTTTATGGTTCCTCAGACTTTTTTTCTGACTGTGTAAAATGGAAGATACCATTAAAAAAAATAATGACTTTGATCTAGATTTAGGTGTATGCAGCTGGGTGGGGAAAGCCCACCCCTCCTTCCCACAGTAATCCCCACAAAGTGCTATGCAGAGAGCTGGTTGGAACAGGGTCTAGTTCAGGAGGTCTGAAAGGAAAAGGGGTGCTGTTCTATTTGCAAAGAGGCTCCCCTGATTGTGGAGTTTAGCTCACTGTTGGTGCCTTGACCCTTTGTGCAGCATTTTTAGGGGTCAGAACAGCAGCTATGATGATGGTGATGAGGAGAGGATGCACAGAAATCAGCACAATCATGTGCACCTAAATCTGGATCCCACCTATGGGAGTGGGGTGTAATATTACTAACTTTGGGTTGTACAGAGTTTAATAATGCTGATAGTTGGATCCATATTTAATCCTGTGTAGAGTAGGCCTATTTAAATCTGTGGGACAAGTTTGTCATGATGACTGATTTGTCCTATTTATTTCAATGGTTCTACTCTAAGCATGACAAAGTTGAATCCAACCCAATAGCAGTGCCATATGAAACAGTGAAATGCTCCAGTCAGGAGAAGCTGGTCAGTCCTGTGACAACAGGGCCGCTTTATCCATTGCAACTTTTATTCTGAACTTTATAGAAGTATCTCTGGTGGTAATCAACCTGTTTTGAGGAGGACATTCAGCACCATGGATAGCTCCTAAGTAGCTTAAAATAAAAGTTGCAGTGGCTAAGGAGCCCCACTGATATTGCAGGTCTTTCTTGGATGCACTAATACTTTGCATCCAATCTTAGTCTTACCTAGAGTAGACCACTTGAATTTAATGGGAGAAAAATCAATCACGGCCAACATCCCATTCATTTCAGTAGATCTGCTCTTAAGTAAGAAAGTAAGACTAACATGGGCTACAACTCTCCCTTCCTCCTGCCTCTCTTTGCTGGCAGTGTCTCTGTGTCTTAGCCAGAAATCCGTCAGGTGAAGTTCTCTTTCTGTTTGTGTGTGGCATGGAGCCAAGAGGACGAGGAAGGCTGAGTGTCTGCCCTCCGTGCAGCTGGGAAGGCGCGGGAGGCGCCCCGCGGGCCAGCAGAGGGGCCAGAAAGAGAAGACACGCCAGCCGGGCGAGGCTGGGAGGGGGCGCCGCCGCGCGCAGGCGGCCTCCGGGCCTCTCCCGAGGACAGGCCCACCCTCTCCCCGCTCCCTTCCGTGGGGCAGCAGGCCAGCCACGCGCTGTCTGGTCCCACCCACGTGGCCAGCAGCCAAGGGCAGGGCCGCCGGGTGAGCGCGGCGCGATGTGGATCGTCTAAGTTGGCTGCTCAACGAGGAGGAGGTGGGGGCGAGGGGTAAAGAGAAGCCGCTTCGGGAGCAGCAGCAGCAGCGGCAGCAGCGGCGGCGGCAGGGAGATCGCCCGCATCCCAGCCAGAGCCTCCCGCTCCGCTTCCAGCAGGTACCCACGCGAAGGTGTGTATCGGGGGCTCGCGTGCCGGGACTCCTGGGTTCCCCGAGGGCGCGATGGCGAAGGGAGGCCGGGGAGGCGGGGAGCTTGAGCGCGGGGCGCCTGGACGCTGCAACTCTCCCGTCTTGTCTTGGAGAGGAGAGTGCGAGAGCTGACAGCCAGTTTCCTTGCGGGGAGCAAAAGGCGGCTTGAAAGACGGTTCGACGAATCAGGCTGTGGGGTGTGTGTGTGGAGGGGGGAGAGGAGTCGCGAATCCGTCCCGCTATCAGATTGCCGACCCCTCCCTCTGCTCCAGCCCAGTAGACCCCGCTTTCTCTCCCCGACCAACTCTTCCTTCCTTTTAGCACATGGCCCCTTCACCATGATCCATTTCCCCCAGGACCAACCAAGCTCTCTCCTGCCCCACCGACTGCTGTCCCAGGGCTGGCCAGTATCAGCATCCCTATGAAAAGCCCCCTCCCCCATATCCACCCTTCAGTCCGTTCTCAAATTAAGCGGGCGAAGAGCAGCTCCCCCCACGAAAGCCAAACCCGGCCCCCTTCGTAGCCAGATCGTGACCCCTGCAGCCTTCTGAAGCAGTGGCGGGGGCGACCCAGAATGGAGGGGCCAGCCCCCCCTTTCCCAATCAGAGCAATGCCCTGCCTTGAGTAGCAGGGACCCAAAGAGTTTCGGGTCTTCGCACGTCGACCCCACCCCACAGAAGGGGGTGATGGCGGTCCTAGCCCAGAGGCCCTGGCTGGGGAAGGCGCCGCTTCGTTCGTGCTCCTCTCCTCGGCTGAGAAAACTCGATCCAGGTATTAAGAAGGTCTTTCTCACAGGTTAGGTTTTTAGAAGCATGTTTATTGGGTCTACCTATAGGACAGGAGCAAACGCGGCCGCCGACTAGATCGTCCATTCCGTTTCTCGTTTGTTGTGTGTATGCCCATCAGCAACCTCTACACGTGGCAGGGATGAAGGGGCAGAAGAGCCTTTGAAAAGCCTTTGTGTTATGCAGATTGCAGGCTAAAATACGTATGACAGATTCTCCCCTCCTTCCTTCCTTCCTTCCTTCCTTCCTTCCTTCCTTCCTTCCTTCCTTCCTTCCTTCATTAAGTGCATTTAATTAAAAAGTATAGGACTGCAATCTTACGCGCATGCCGTTACAGGCAAATCCCATTGAACACAGAAGCCTGGAGCCAGATTCAGACGAGCTGAGACTGAGCGGGTGGAAGTGCACTCCCCCGCCCCCTCCTCAAAGCAGCCCCCCCGTAAAAAGTTACAGGTGGCCCTGCTGAATGGGGGAGGGAGGGAAGGAAGGGGGGGTTCTGAAAATTGGGCGGAGGCACCTTCCGTGCGTAGGGCTCTGCCCACGGAAGCTGCCTCTGTCTGATTTTGTGAGAACTCCCTCCTCCCCCGCCCCCTACAGCATGGCTGTCCCATTCGGACGAGTCCCGCGACCCTCTGCAAAGCATCTTGGGGAAGGCCGGGAGGGGCCGCCCGGGGGGCGGAGAGGGGTCGAGAAGCCCACGCTGTGGCCTGGATCCAACCCAGGCACTGTGGAGAGGTGTGTACTGTTGGGTGTTTGGCGGCTGTCCTGTTCAAACTTTCTTGGCTTAGGTCCCCGTTTAGCTCGGTGAAACTTGCTTCTGAATAAAGCGCATGCCTAGCCGTTTGATGGGACTGGACTTCTGCGAAGTTTTCAAATTGGAGCATGCTAAGCTCATAATTTGCACTTTTGATGCCCCTTGGTGTCTCATGAGCTCTGCTTTGACCTGGCCGTTCAACCTCTTACACAGTTTACATCCCCCTCCGTGCCTTCTCCTGGTCATCTTTGCACAGGAACAGATTCTTAATTGTCAAGAAGATTAATGGAGTGAGGAGGGGAATAATCTCACAAGGGGAATGCCTTTTTACTTTACAATGTATCACTTTGAAATGCTGACCAAGAGAAGCAGAAGACAACATTCTTTAAAATCAGATGGGCAGCAGTTTAGTGCAGCCTTCTGCAATCTGGCACACTCTGGATGAGTTGGACTACCAATCCCATTACCCCCAGCCAACGAGTTATACTAGTGAGGTATGTGGTTATACTAGTGAGGAATGATGGGAGCTGTAACCTCACACATCCACAGGTCACCACAGGGATGAGCAGTCCTAGTAAATACAGCTCTCCTATCCACTTGACAAACTAAGGACATGATCCTATAAATGCTTAGATAGAAAAAAGTTATATCCAGCACGCTTCCGTCACCCATGCTGCCTTAAGGAAATGAAACCACCCAATATACTATAAATAAACATCATTTCACAGTCTTCTACAGGGAGCAGAATAGAGTGAGCACCAAACAGGGTGGATAAGAACTCCAAATACAGCAGTTCTATCTCTCAGAGTTGGCATATTTTACGCAGTCTTTGGGTTAAGAGCCCATCTTGATCATCATCATCATCAACCTAAAAAAAATGAAAGATTTAAAAAAAATCTTTTCAATGTGATGCAGGGATCCTGCTCTCTTAGGGCTGGGAAGTGCCTTGAGCTAGATGAGTGTTGTGAAATGGCGATGTGATAATCGGCCTTCCCCTATTTGTTGCCTTCTGTATTTTTTGGATTACAGCTTCCATCTGTCACAGCCAGTATAGCCAATGATCAGGAATACTAGGAGTTGTAGCCCAATATACCTGAAGGGCAACAGCTTGGAGAAGACTATGTGGATTAGAGTCACTGGGATTCTCTGGAAGAGGCTTTCATGGGTGATTTGGGAGGAGCTGGGGGTCAAGCTTCTTGAATGTCCTGACATGGGATCTTTATCAAGAGGGTGAAAAACTCAAGGGATTTTCCAGGTGAAGAATGGACAGGGCTTAATCTGAGCCAATATTCAGCTCAGCACCTGTTTCAGTGCTAGGACTTGCCTGGGAAACATGGGGTTATTGCACTTATGTTATTTTTTATGTGTACACCCGAGGGTTTCAGTCTTGGATCTGCCCTCCGCTTGAGTTTTGGGGATGGCCTCCTTTAAACAATTCACCCCATTCTTCAGGGTCTCCTGATTTTCTGTGTAGCATTTTTAAGGGGCTAGAGGGGCTGTTACAGGAAGGAGAAAGTGGAGTCCACTTCTGCCAATGTGGCTGATTCAGTTTAAATTTAGATTGAACCCAAGATCAACTATCTATATTTACCTGTGCATCTTAAACTGGGTGTGGTTGTCTGTAAATGTGGTAGCAAACGTAATTTTTGAATGAAAGAGCCCAAAGAATTTTTGAGCTCTCTCTGTATATATTTTAACCACTGTTTAGCCACATTTCACTCCACAATGAGGAGTTGCTTCAGTCCTTCCTTTAAAAAAAAAAAAAACTCTTTAGAAAATAACCACCAGGGAAAGCCCAGTGAAAAGCTGTATAAAGATGTTTTTGTTTGTGGTTCTTTTTACATCAGGCCCCAAATGCTTAGATTACAATTTCCGTTCGCCTTTTTTTTCTTGCTTGCTGCACTGCTGTTTGTGTAATACCACCCAGATTCCCTCTTTGCTGCTTTGACGAGCCATTTGAGGGGCCCCTGTATGGGACTGGTAGAGCTGGCAGCAGCGATGCAGCCCAGCTGTTGCTTCCACCACCCCTGGCTTGCCCAGTGCTCACATGACTGTGCAACATCTGGATCGTATTAGGCAAGGCCTAAAGCCACAGGAATGTGAACTGGGTGGATAAGCCCAGATCCTGGCTTCTCTGAGAGGGAATACGCTGAGTCCAAGGAGGGGCTCAGAGATCTGGACATCCTGGGACAATCTGGAACGCACCCAGTGAGGTCTGAGTAACGGTTTGGACAAAAATATTTGCTATGTACTTTCAGGAGTGCTCTGGGAGGAATGCAGTGACTACTAGGGGGGCTTGGGAGCTCAGCACTCCTGGATTCCTTCAGTCGGATCATGAGCCATGGCAAGCAAAAGAGGGTAGCTGGAAGTCAGGGACTGCTGAGGGTGGGACTTGTCCTTTAAAAGTGGAGAAATTGGGCTGGAAAGTACGAGTTCTCTAGTCCTTTGTTTGTTTGGAAGGACAGTGCTGATTTTTCACTCAAAAGAAGTTTTTGTTGAAAACAAAGGTGGCAGACATAGGGTTAGAGAGCACTTTGTTAAAGAGGAGTAAACATGTCGCAGACCCAAGCCCTGAGATGAAGGGTGCTTCCAGATGGAGCGCTCCTAGCACTAAAACGATCAAGATGTTGTTTGTTGTACAGACATTCTTCCTCCTCCTCCCCCCCCAGTGGATTTTGCACTGTATGGAAAGACACGGAGGCAGTGAGAGAGCAACAAGAGGGCTGTTGAAGACATTTAGATCCTCCTGTAAAATTCTGTGAATGCGGCAGAGTGATGTTGCCATAAAAGGCTCATCTGGACGCACATGAAGGGAGGAAAACAAAGGGGTTCTGGTGCATGTTTAATGCTGTTTTCCCTTCTCTCCCCAGCATTCAGCTGACAAGATGAGCTTCCTCCTTTTTGCAGTCACTGCCCTGCACGTCCTTATTCTCATCTTACTCTTCGTAGCCACATTAGATAAGGTGAGAGAGTCCAGAAGTCTGAGCTCACAGCCTGGCTTCTTTTTTCCTGATTGTCTGGATAGCAGTTTGTGAGTCACATCTGGGCCCCCAAATCCGTTAACTTTTGGCCTACCATCCTGTGAGTCAAGGCATGAATAATAATTTTGCTTTCTGTTTCACGTGCAAGTAAAGGGAGTAAACCATCTTGCATTGTCAAATACTTTTGATTGCTTTGCTTTGTCACGTGTGTTTGGGAAAGGATGTCTGTCAGTCTCAAGGGCATCCTTCAAATAGCCCTTAACTGTTAAGTGATGCCAAACTGTTACAGACGCATCTATCTCTGAATGCTTCAGACAGAACTGGCCTCTGGACCTGGTTCATCCAGAGTACACAAGATCCCCCTGAAAATACAAGAGATAGAGCTTCTTGCTCAATCCCCTGCCATCAGGCCGGGACCTAAGATGAAGACTTGGACTGTTTTATACTGTTCCCTCCGTTGTGAAAAAAGAAAACGAGAGAGAGAAGTAAACTTCTGAAGCTGCTAAAGAAAATAGTTCACTGAAGTTCTCTTATTTCTTGCCACACACACTGCACATATATCATACTCCTCATCAGAGGCAACCATCTTCCAAATAAGGAGCACCTTTTTATTTCCAGACATAATATTTATCATTTGGAGAGCTCTCCCAAAAGATAATGAACAAACTTCTTCTTTTGGGAGACAAGATGGGAGATAGCCTCCGATCTGGAATATGAAATACCTTGAAGCACTTTAGGCAAGAAAATGGTGGCAATTTTCTTTAGCACCTATTTTTTATCCGAAGATTGATTTTTCTTTCCTAGTGCACCCTGCTGGTCCCTAAGACAAATGCTCTGAGTCATAATTTTATTTTGTGAGCCAATCTGGCAGCCCTAGTCTTGGAATCCTTTGTCTCTCCCTCTCCTAACTTAAGAAAGGTTGTTTTGTTTCATTTTTAAGGGATAAATGTGCCAGAAGCATCCTGAGTCTGTGCTGGGGGTGAATATGTAATTTCCTGAGCAAACATGTCAGCATATACTTCCTTGTCTTCATTAAGTCCTGACAAGTCCTTCTCAGAAAGCTGACAGCTCATTAAGAATTAAAATGAAACAGCATGCCTAGTAACATAAGTTATGGGCTATACCATAAGCATGAATTTGGCTTCTGCTTTGCATAGACAATTTACATTTATTATTTTTTATTCTGTCAGTATTTCAGATTTGACAGTATACTGAAGCTTTTGTCCCCGCCTCACAAGCAAGCATTAAAACCAAACTGTATCCAAATCCCTCAGTGTTTTAGTGTATATCTGAGGCATAGCCATGTTATGAAGAAAGCACTGCCCCATTTTCACCTCATAAAAAAGAGGAAAATTGGTTAGCCATGGTACTTTGTCCTACCTGTTACCTGTAAACCAGGGGTGCTGAACCTCTTTCATCCCAAGGGCCATCCCATTCCAGAGAAGCTCTCGGGGGCCCTCCCAGTGATGGGCAGAGCTAAAGGCAACAAGCCTGGCGTTAAAGGATCAAAATACCAGAATGTCCAGTGTATTGTAGCTTATAGGTCTTGTTGCTAGTAAATTAGAAGAATATTTCAGCTTTTTAGAGTGTCAGGAAAACCCAAATGACTGGGGATTGGGTGAAAATGGGATGAGGCAGAGGGAGTAGGGCATGGCCACATGGGGGACCCAGGAGGGCTGCAGTTCAGACCTCAGCCCTGAAATTCTGCACTTTTGCTGTAAACACCACCCGGTGACCCTTTCTGTTGACTGAGCACACCCCACTTCCCCCGCCCCACTGGGAATGATCCTGTGAAAGCGGGAAGGCCTGGAGAAAAGCAGCTGTGCAAGGAAGTCCATGGGGCAAGGGTTAAAAGTGTTTCCCACTCATTGATTTTTCTCTCACTTTTCAGCTCAGCATGACTGCTAATTGAGAAATGTGTTGCCAGCGCAACATTCCACTCTAAGGGCGAGTTTAAATGTTTTCATTTTTTTAGGCTGAGAGACTAATTGTGTTTCACATTTGCCCTCAATTTGCTAGGCAGCCTTAGGCAAGCCATTCTGTTCTGAGCCTCAGTTCCCCAATCACATTATAAGCATATTAACACTTGATAAAAAAGGCAGCATGATTAGGTGCCCCCCCACCAGTGAATTTAGGCACTGGTTGCCTAAATTCTGTGTCTCAGTTCTGTGCTTAGCTCTGCACTGTCTCCCGAAACACAGTGCCTCTTCACTGCTGTCCTGCCCTTGGACCAGGAGTTACAAGGCCTTGTTGCAAGGCCTGGCCAGAAATCCATACAGAATCCTATTTAACAAACCAGCAACAGGGCCAACACCTATGAGGAATCCTTCCCGGAATCCTGTCTTTAAACTCTCTCATGTAACTGTATCCTTTTCTCCCCTTCCTCCAGTCCTGGTGGGTTCTGCCTGATAATGAAACAGTTAATATCTGGTATGACTGCTTGCTTGACAACAGCACCAAGACCTGGGTTTGCCATACTGTTTCTGAGAGTGGTGAGTATCCAAGTGGCGAATGAATGCTGGAATGGCTTCTACTAGCCATGAGGAGCCTCTTTCTGCACAAGAGCTGAATCCCATCTCAGAGAAGCCCTCTGGGATCATGCTAGTGGTGGGTGGGGCCAAACGCAAACAGGACAGCCTAACCCCCTAAAATAGCAACATATTTTAGTTCTACTACTACCTGTAATGGGGCAGGGGGAGTTTTTCAAAAGCTGGGAAGCCATCATACTGCTGGTGGCCAGGGAGAAGGGGTTGCAGGGGAAAAGATTCCAGGAAGGCCAGAGCTGGCCTTCAGGTCTGAGGATCTTCTGATTGGTAAGCTCCTGACTCTCATAATTATCTTTCCCTCCACAGCATGGCTCCATGCAGTCCAGGCCTTCATGGTTTTAAGCCTTCTCTTCTCCAGCTTCGCCTTTATTATCTTCATGTGCCAGCTTTACACCATGAAGCGAGGAAGCCTCTTTTACGCCACTGGAATCTGCCAGATACTTGCTTGTAAGAACTTGTGGTGATTTGCTGCTTAGGGTCTGGTTTAATTACCTTAAGACAGGATATATGACATTTCACAAGGTGGGATAGAGTGTAGCAGCCAGAAAGGAGAAGTAATATGGGGACATGTGGTAAAATGTCATGATGGAAGGCATGTAAGAGATTCCTTGTGAGGAAGAAATTGTGGAGGACATAGAAAGTCATAAAACAGGGTGCAGAACCTTTTTCAGCCTGACGGCCAAATTCCATTTCAGAGAAATTATCTGAGGTTGCATTCCATGGGTGGATGGAAGCAAAAGGAAACCGCATGGGGCAAAAGTTAGAAACAGTGCCAGCCTATCATAGCTTAATGCTCTAACAAAACCTTAGGAGAGGCATTTCAGTCTATTAGATTAGGGGAGAAACTGCAAAAAAACAGGGAATCAACTAACCCTAAGTAGAAGGGAAATGGAGATGGGGGAAAGAAGGCGGCCCTCTAGGGAACCCTGGCAGACTCCCAGGCCCATGTTTCTGCCCTCTGCCATATAGGTACCTCTGCTGAACAATCAGGAAGATTCTATTTTCCATTCTCCTTTATGTCATGGAGCAGGGGTGCAAAAAGTGCAGCTTATGGGCCGTGTTCCCCTCCATGCATTTTCTGGCAGCCCACCACACCCCTCTGCCTCTGTCACAATGGTAGTACTCACTGTCCCTATTTGCAATGCATGCATAATCAGAAATAAGCAGTGACCCACACAAAGAAGGAGATCTCAGCAACCCTGAGCCAGGCAGGATCACTGCCTTAGCAGCACTGATGATACTGCTTCAGTTTCCCTCCTTCCCCAGTGACCCCAAAGCAGGAGCACGCATGTGTGTCTGTGTCGCTATCTCTGCTATGTATGTCTCCCATCCCATCCGAATGCTTTTCCGCACGCCAGTATACATGTGCGCGTGTGCATGCATGCACATGCAACCTTCAGAGCTCCTAGCAAAATTAGATTCAGCCCAATGGGCCAGAAAGATTGTGTACGCATTGTAAAAAATGCACAAATGCACACTGCTGAACTCAATGTTGGTATCAGTGAGATTTCTACCCCAGGATCACATGTCATATTGCAAAAGATAAAGGGAGGCAACATCTCCGAAGCTGCTTGCTGAAGAAGCATTAGCCTGGATTGCATTTTAATTTCTTCTGTCTGGGTCTCTTCCCAGCTATCTCTGTGTTTGTAGCTGCTGTGATCTACACTACCCAAGTGGATGTCTTCCAACAAGGCCGGCTGCCAGGAGGTTCCTTCGGCTACTGTTTTGTACTGGCATGGCTCTCCTTCCCCTTGGCTCTTATCAGTGGAATCATTTACATCCACCTTCGGAAAAAGGAGTGATCCTCAACTGAGAGATCCTATGCCTCTGAATTTAGCTATGTATTAACTCTTTGCTGTTTCCAAAGGCCGGTGTGGCACAAACTCCTATTAGGTATAATGTGTGGCTTGACCCATTGGGGTTATTGCTCTGTGCTCCTTTTCATGTTATCATGCATTTCACATGATATGGCAAGTTAAAGGTGTGTCATCTTACACAGGGCATTGCCTTGATTTCTGAGATATCATGCACTAAGCATGTGATTTTTTTGCTGGCAAAATGATGTATCATGATTCCATGGTATAAGCCTATTCAGGGAATAACTCTGTGTTCCCCAGCTAGAAATGATTGCTTAAAACAAAATTATATACATGTGAAAATAGAATAACTTTTAGTTTTCCAAAATAGAAGTATATATCTTTTTCTGGGTTTTTTATAATAAATTTGGCCTTTTTGATATTCTTCAGTGTGACCAATGTTTTCTTTCTAAAAACCACCCTTTATTTTTAATGCTTTTATATTACTAATGTTGGTGGTGGAGGTGAAAAAATTGTGGGTTGAATGGGTTAATTTCCAAATATTTCAGTATTTTCAGATTTGGCAAAACAGAAATGTAAATTCTGATACATTCCAGTTGGAAGTGCTGAAACCTTTTGAAATGTTAAGAAAAAAATGACAGAAATGGGAAAGTTGCATGTCCAAAATGCTTTTGTTTATTCAGAAAAGTTTTTCATGAACTGAACATCTGAAACTATCACTTGTTTCTTTACTGGTGGAGCATTGTAACAGATATTGAGGACATATAAAGGTAACACAGCTCACGTTTTGTCACTGAAATTATGTACACAATGCAAGATTTGTTTGAATTTCTACCCTGTAATATAAGGGCATTTACATGTGGTATTAGAAGCACTTTACAATGATGATGATGATGTTTAGGTCTAAGGGGAAACCTAAACATGCCAGGTAGGAATGGGACCTGGTGCTCATAGAGCCACAATTAGGTTTAATTCACTACTGCAATAACCTTAGTAGCAAACCCAGTTTTTCCTCTACATGATGTGTTAAGTGTTCCTAAGATGTGCATACTGCAAGTATGTGTTTTGATTTTTGTTTTTTAAATCAAGGAAGGCAAAAGTGGGTGGCCACTGTCAACACTCTCTTATCTCTTTGCCCCCCACAACCAGCAAACATTTTTTTTTTAAAGGTAGTTCCTCTTTCCCTCTAAACTATGAGCTTGCGGTGATTCTGAATTTCCAAAAATTGGAAGGGTAACATAGGGTGTGTGGTTGAAGCTGATCATGTCTACCCCACTTTTTAGGTTGGAGGCAATATATTTTGCCTGCCTACCTCCTGGTGAACTTGTTCCTGACCTGGTGTCCTCCAGAAGTGCTGGAATATAACTCCCATCAGCCCCGTTCATGTGTTCAACACATCTGGAGGAGAGTGTGCCTAGTATTTGGCTTTGATTTTGTTGCTCTCATAGCCTTACTAGGCAGCTTGTCCACAAGTATCAGGACCTGGTACCTTCTATGATGTTTCTTTCAAAGTTATGTATTGTATGTCCCTTTTCATTTTCCTGACCTGGCCTTTTTGTATTTTATATGCACTATAAGAATGACAAATAAAAAGGAACAGGATTCAACACAGCCACCTTTCCCTTCATCTTTGGGCCTGCTATGTTTTATGCTTCTTAAGCCATGCAGAGGTCCAGGTCCAGCTGTCTTCACAGGACAAGTTCTTTCCCAAAGAATCATGCAATGAAAACTTGTTGTGCATACAAAATTTCTGGTCTACAGACCTAATCTAGATTAGGAATGTAGGTTTCCAATCTGGCCTTCGAGGGGTTCAAAACCCTTTATAGGCCCCTCCCCTCCAAAAGTCTTGCACCCCAAACAGGAGGCTACTAGGGACATGGAGAGGAGGAAAACAGAATCCCCATATTATCTTTGATCTGTGATTAGAGATAACAAGAGGATCTCTCCATGCTTTGCTCCCCTTCCCAATGGGAGGAAAGAGAACATGAAGGGACATGCTTTCCATCTCTGGACACAGACCAAAGTGGCGCTGAGCTCAGTCCAGCAGGCATTTGCAGAAGCCAAGTCCAACAAGCACCAGACCAGTCTCCTTTTCTGTGTTCTTTGCAAGGAGAAATGAAAATTGGACAGAGTAAGATCATATCATGGGAAAGGTTGGGCTTTGGAATGGATCCCCATCTCCTTTTTTTAAATAATTTTTATTTTTCCAACATATACAATTACATAGAAAAAACAGAGAACAAAGGAAAAATGAACGAACAAAACAGATGAGAGTGAACAAAATAAACGAAGTTGCTGAAGGAATTGCAAACACCACATCCCATATACTGCAGCCCCCAGAACCAACTCTCTTCATATCTTACCACGTTCTATCAGAGTTTGCAGAAAAGAAAAAAAGAATCATTCCATACATCCACAGATTTTCTAACCAGTTCAAATTCTAATGCTTTCCTTCGGATTCCCATCCCCTTGATGCCATCATTCCCATCACCTTGGTTTAGGGGCCAATCCAGCCTCCAGACCGAAAGGATTGCCCACCCTGATTTAGGATATCTTCATAATAATCTCTTCTGAAGGCTGATTGATACGGGTGCAGAAGCAAGCATGCTGCACCAGTTTGTAGCACCTCACCATCCGAGGCTGACCCGAGACATTCTGTCAGTGCGGTGTAGCGGTTAAGAGCACTGGGCTGGGGCTTAGGCGGTCTGGATTCTAGTCTCCACTCAGCCATGTAGCCAACTGGGTAACTTTGGGCCAGCTACAGACTCCCAGCGCAACCTACTTCACAGGGTTGTTGTGGGAGTAAGATTAAGAGCAGGAAGAGTAGAATTATGTAAGCCTCTCTGAGTTCTCTGTAAGAAAATAGGCAGAATATGCATCTAATAAATAACTATTTTGCTGCCTGAGGCAAAAGGCAAGATGGCACTTAGATGCAGTCCACGGACAAAAGCCAAGCAGGTAGCCAAAAGCCAAGCATGACTCACCCAGCACAAGGGCCACCTCTGTGCCTGCAGGCAGCAGGCTAGCTTAGGAGATAGCAAATCCTCACTGCTTGGTCTCCTCCTAGCAGCTTCTGCTGCCTCTTCCTCAGAGGCATCTCAACATGTAACAAACACAGTTTCCCTGCTCTCATTATACAAAAAGTTTAACCTCCACTACCCATGGTCCTGTCATGGCTGGTCTTCTCCCCTTCCTTCCAAGCAGATGAGGCCAAAAGCTTTCTAAGTAAATGACTTCATTATGCTAAACCTATCCAGCTAGGCTGACTTGGAAATACAAAAGAAGATTACTGTAGAAAGCTGTAACGAAAGAAACATGCTAAGTTAGAATACTGGCTATTAAGGAAAGGCAGCTTAATGATAAGAAGTTGATCCCAAGCAGCTAACCCTACCCCTTCAGGGTGGATCATGCAGCTTAAGGGGCAATTGCTTGGAGTGTCTGACAACTCTGCCTTCTTACCTGATGCCTAAGATAGGACTAATGGTGTTGGGACCACCCCTTTCATATCAGCAAGCTCACTCAACTTTCCCACAGAATTTGAAACTGTCTGATTCTCACCAACTGCTAGGCCTGCTGGGGTCTACTGGGCCTTGGCAAGTCAGCTACAAGTTCTGGGCCCTCCTCTTGCGAATCCAAATCCGATTCAACAATCTTTGAAGCCCAAAGGTGGCTTAGTCCCTGCAACTTCAAACTGCTGTTGCTCATGCAGCCCCTCTTTGCCCCAATTCCCTGCATTTTGATGGCCAACCAAATTATGATTGCATTTTAATCTCACCCTTCCTTCTCAACCATATTATTCTTGCCACAACCTGCGAGGTAGTTGAGGCCAGAGAGAGATGGTCAGGGCCATCACCCAACTTAGGCATGGGTGGGCTGCAGCCGAGGGACCAACACTACAGCAGGGGTCCACTGATGAACAATCTGGAGGTGTGTGTCCCCTAACCTGCTAGGTTACCTGCCTCTTGCTCTGGCCAGACAATTGTGATGGTGAGAAGGAAGAGGAACAGCAGACACCATGGCCTACTCACTCACTGGCTTTCTGCCTATCAGTTAAGCAAGTGGTAGCAATGATACAAAAGAGAAGAAGCAAAAACAGCAGGGGACAATGGCAGTGAGAGGGTAGACTCATTGAGGAAAGAGGCCCATTGCGGAAGTCTTGCCCAAGGTCCCACAGATGGTGATGGCTGACTGGCCCAGGACCACCAGGTGAGTCTAAAGGTTACCCCAATGAGCCTGCTTCTCTTTGGTCCTGGTATGCTCCTCTGAGCTCCACACCACTCTGGGCCTCTTGTTGTAGCTTCCTCCCTGTGCTCTGCGTTTAGATAAAAGAACAGCTTAATGCCCATCAGGAGATCTAATTTACCATCTGGCAATGCACAGATTTGGACATGTGAAAGAGTACATATTTAATCGCACTGAAATTGAATTTAACTATCCACAAGCCAATTAGGCTCATATGGGCATAAGCAACAGTACCACTGAGGGAACACAAGCAGAGACAGAGGCAGCGACATGGGGACTAGGCTGAGAAGCTCAGACACTAGCTTGGAGCAGCAGTGTTTCCTTCAAGCACAAAGTACTGCAGTTGATCAGGTATTCATCTCGTACAGCAAATCAGTTGTTCTTGGGAGGCATGCTTCTAGTTCTCAGAGTGATTGTGATTTTTTTAAATGAGCAGCCAATAATTGAGAAGTGAGGCTGCATTCCTTTCTGAATTACAAACTCCCTAATTCTTCTTTGCTTTGATATGAAAAGAACGTGATATTCTCTGTATCCAGGGACGTCTTAACGCATGGGCCTGATGGGTACTTGCCCGTGGGCCCCATACTAATCTGTGTATGTTAACCCTTGGAAAATTGGAAAACTTCCAAAATTAACAGTAATTGTAGTTGTCGTAGGGGCCCCAGGACACTGCTTTGCCCGGGGCCCATAATGCTGTTAAGACAGCCCTGTCTGTATCCCTGCAGTTTAGAAAGTAAGCATAAAGATAGCAATGCTGCCCAGTCAAATATGGCCAGGCTTCAGGTGCCTCCCCTTTCATCTTTGATTCCCAGGAAGACCCCACAGAGCTGCTCATAAGAAGCAACAAATATTTGTGCCTTGGCTTGGGGTAGATCTAAGTAAGTAGGTACTTCTGTCTTCCTCCGTTTCCAATTGAAAAGTTCTGTTAGTTAATAAGCACACCACACATAATTTGGGAACTCCAGCCAAATATGGAGAGGGTGGTTGAATGAATGAAGGCTTGGAGCTCAGTTCCTGCTCATGAGGAGACAAACCAGGAAGCAGATAACACTTGCTGTTGTAAATACAGTATGTGATGGGGCAGAAAAGAAAAAATAATTATTGAACACAGTTGCTGTGCAGTGATTATTAAAACATTGGAAGCTGGCCTAAACTTGAATGCTCTGAGACCGGAAGGTACTGTGAACATGTAAGTAGGGCGTGTCTGGACAACTCAGCTTTGTTGAGGGAGGACAGCAAAGTCACTGGAGGGGTGACAGCTCACTTGAATTGATCCTTTTGTTAAATTTGTACAGAGATCATTCCTTTCTGCTTCCTGCCCCTTTGTAAAAAGTAACTTCATACAGCAAACCTTAACCAGCTTGAATTTAGCACAAAGTTGCACCAAAAATACAGCTTCGAAATGTATTCAGTTAGCCATTGCCTCAAGGAGCTGAAGCAAATACACACCCTAACTGCTGTTATCTTTGAAGTCCTAGACGGTGCCTCCCAAAGGCCAAATTAGAAAAGCAGCATTGTGTTAGACAATGATTAGGTAGAACAAGTAGACAATAGAATGCATAGCTTGCTGATTGACTATTCAGATTGTACGCCCCTAAGGGACAGAAAAGTATAACTGACTGTGATCGTATAGGCAGGGCTAGGGCTAAGGCTAGGCCTAGGCCTTTTATTTTGGCATGACCCAGCGCTTCCACCCTTGCTTCCACCCTTGCTGCCGCTTGCTTTTAGCAAAGTCTCTTGGGCCAAAGAGCCATTGGTGCCTGTTTCCTTGTGCCTCCCCCGAGATGACTGGGATTGGGAATCAAGTGCTCTCAGGCAACATACAAGTGAGCGACTATTTTCGCAACAACAGGGCTGGGGCACTTGTGGGACTCTAGATGGAATTGGGCTTATACTTCCATCAGCCCTGATGGCACTGATGGAAACTGAAGTCCACTGGAAGGGCCACAAGTTGCCCCTTCTGCCCCAAATGTAAATAGAATGGAGTTCTTAAATAGGCTCTGGCAAGTTGTGACACACACACACACACTCATAACAAATACATGCTAAAATTTAAGAACCACAATTCCCAGGGGTCCGCTTGGGGAAGTTCAGGCTGACGGTTAGTTATTCTTCAGCTTAATCATTCAAAATGTAACCCACTTTTCTTTAAAAACAACAATACCAAAAGCAATTTATGAAATATAAGTTGTATAAACATCCCCCATTACATTTGAAACAGCACAGTAACAGATAAATAGCTATAATATGCCCTACAGTGGCATCTGGTTATTTTTATTTATTTAAATTATCCATTGGAGTAGGAGAAGGTGAACTTGGCAGAGACCTTTTTATATAACAAACATGAGAGGAGGAGAGAATTGTACCCTTCTCATTCCCTACTCTTGATTGTCTCTGCATTCTTTGGATGACGTGACCTTCTGGTTTTGCTTCGGTTTTAAAACAGCACTTTCATGAGATTTTTTTAGAACAGGGAAAAGGTTGTAGTGTTTATGAAAGCAAAGGCTATTTCCACTTGCATATTAGTGCTTTTCTGCAATACCACAGTACCGCCTGGAGCTTATGTAGTGGAAAAGCAGGAAAGGAAAGCTTTTGGTATACTGCACTGATCTTAGTTCAATGGAGAAACCAAAAGCAGATATGGCAGATTAGCGGATTTGTATAAAAAGCCCTTCATTTGCCAATGCAGCATAGGACAGTCAAAGCCAATCTTCCCCAACATGGTATCTTTCAGATGTTTAATCCTACTTCTCCCAAAACTCATTAGCTGGGTCTGATGAGGGCTGAAGTTCAAAACTTAGAGGTACCAGATGGAAGAAGGCTGCCCTAAAAACTACTCCAGTGCAATTTACTTTGGTTTTCTACTTTCAATAGCCTTACTGGCTAACTTCCTTGTATGTACCAAAATGGGTTCTTACTGACTTTTCTGTATGGCATTTGCTAATTTGAAAATTGGACAGGGAAGAAAGCTGAGAGGAAGAAAACTGATGTGTTTGAAACATGGTGTTAGAGGAGAGCTTTGCAAATACCCTGGACCAGTGGAAAGTTGAACAAGTGGGTCCTAGATCAAAGCAAGCCTGAACTTGTCCTGGAAGCAAAAATGATGGAATAAGTGGTCATACTTCAGGCACATCATGGTAAGACAAGACTCAAGGAGAAGACAATACTGCCAGGGCAAGTCAAAGGCAGAAGAGGAGGAGGATCCACACTGTACGGGAAGCCGCAGCCCTGAGCGTACAAGCTGAGCAGGGCTTGTCAAGGACAGGACCTTTTGGAGGTCTTTCACTCACAGGGTTGCCATAAGTTGGAGACAAGCTGGTATAACATCATTTGTCAATGGGCAGCATCTCCAGTGAAAGACTCTCAGGGTGGGAAAAAATGTAGGCTCAAGCAGTAAGGCAGTGCCAACAGACTATTGGCTGTTGATTTATTTCTTCAAAATATGCGCTGGACTGCTGGCATGACTTTAAACCAGGCTTTGTCCAACCTGGTACCCTGTAGATGTGCTGGAGCTGGCTGGGAATGATGGGAGCTGTAGCCCAACACATCTGTAGGGCGCCAGGTTAGGGAAAGTCATTCTCACTAGTAGTACCATCCTAATGAGATGTGGCAGGAAGGAGTATCTCAAACTAGGGTTGTCTCCTACTCAAATCAGCCAGTCAAACCAAGAACGAAGTGATGAATGTCATTGCAGGAGGTGACAATTTACCCCCCCCACCGCCCTCGCTTCCCGTTACAGCGCCATTTATTAACATGGGGGAAAAACAAGGACTTTCCCCCCATTGGTCCCATAGGCAAACTTAGGAGCACCCCAGCAATGCTTCTCTCAGTAGGCATCTATAACATTGCACCTCTTCTACCAGGAACAGAACAAGTAACCTGTGACAAAAAAATCACAGTGTTTTCTTTTTGTTTTTTGTTTTTTTGTGAACTAGGGCGATAACTTTACCTTGCTTCTTTCAAGAAGCCATTGTATTCCTCCCTGCATGCAGTCTGGCTCCTTGCTCACGTGAGCTCCTCTGGAGGATTGGACATGCGTCTGAAGTCCCTGCCTTACTGTAAAATTCACAAGACGTGCTGGTGCCAATGAGGGAAGCTTATGCTTCCTCAGAGGAAGCAGAGTATGGTTGAGAGACCTCTGTGGAAAAGGGTTTTGTTTAAATAAAACTTAGATGTGTAAAGCAGAGTCGGCTTGACTCTGTGAGGTGTGGTCCACCAGCCATGAAATATGGACCATTTTAGGTCAGTGAGCACACTAAAATTTTGAGGGTGTCATGGGCTATGAGGGTGCCTGATCAGTCATAAAATGGATGCTACAGTGTGAGCATGGTCAGATATAAAAAGCTGATTTTCTCAGAGGCAAACTGGTGAGACTAAAGAAAAGGAACTTATCCACAGATCTCAGCACAAGGAACTGTGGATAAGTCTAAGCTCCAAGACAGAAAGCTGCTCTTTTAAATCCAAATAAATATAGTGCTGAAGAACAGAACTTTGCATTGCAGTATGGCAACCTCCCAGTTTTAAATTGAAATCTAGAAAAAAATAAGCTTCTCACTTAAAAAAAAAGTCTGATCTAAGAAGAAATGGGAAAGATATTACTGGAAAAATCTATAGAGGTGTGTTTAGAAATTCTGAAAAGAGAATTTCTAACCCTTTTTAGTTAGTCCGTTTATGAAAGAAGCTCAGTGTAGAATGTTATAGAGGTGGTACCTGACTCTAAAAGGAATGAGCAGAATAGAGAGGACAGATGGATTTGGTTGTTGGAAGTGTGGGAGGGTACAGATTTGATTCATGTACTTGGCATTGTCCGGAGGTCCAAGAATACTGGGGGTAAGTAGTTCAATTAATAAATGTAATAACAGAAACTAATGTATTATCTTTATTAGTAGCCCACTTACTGGAAATTACGAAAAGGCTACTAAGGATTTGGCCATACATTCATTAATAGCTGCCAGTATTGTATTGGCTAGCTAGTGGGAAAATGTCATAACTCCCACATCTAGAGAATAGTTATTTGGGGTTTTGGAAAGGGCCCAATCAAGTGAGCAATAGAAATGATTGTATACTGTGTTTTTTCCCCCCTTGAAATGGCATCTGTTTATTGCTTTCTGGAACAATTATTTTGGACTTACCAAGTTGGATAGTTATATATTTAGTTTCTGAAATAATGATATTTTTTTAAAAAATAGGAAATAAAATTAGGAGAGGCAGGAAGAGTTGTCTTCTGCAGGCACACACTGAGAGAAGTGGAGGCGCTGGCTGAAGAAAAGTTCTCAAGATAATGCTGCAAGCAAGACATAAGAATATACAGAGTTGGGGAAAACCAGAAGCTTGGTTGTTCTGATAAAACAAGGGGGGACAACTATGGCCCTGAGATGTTGCTAAACTGCAACTCCTATCATCCATCACCACCATTTAGGGCCAGTGGGAGTTGTCCAACAACAGTCCAATTATTTGTACAGTCAGTCGTCCAACTGAAGTCTAAAATGGGATAAATGGGGTTGTTTGGGAATGGTATATGGTGCACACTTGCTGCCATTTCAGAAGTCAGAGAAACTGCTCAGACTAAGACTGCTTGAGGGTGTGAGGAGGGAGGAGAAGCATGCTTTGGCTCAATGCTTCCTCAAAGGGGGTTCCTCACAAAAATAGTGGCTATCCCCTGCTGCTGGACCAAGCAGCAGGAAATGAGACAGTGTAAGAAAACAGTAGAAAGTTTGTGAAGGTGGGAAAAATAGTTTATTGCACTGAAGATACAATAGACATTCAGGTACTTTCTTCCCCCCTCCTCACCACCACCGGAGCCTTGACAGGCTTCCAACATGGGAGGAGGAGAAGCTCCAAGACTATTTTAAGACTCAGCATTCACTCTGCGCATGATAGGCTCGGCCAAGCTTTAAGCCAGGCTGCTACTGGGCGCATCACCTCCCACCATCACATGCACTATGCAGCAGGGAAGAGCTCTGTTCCTACAACCTGCAGCGGAGCAAAGTTGCAGATTGCAGTGTATGCGAACGCCATCCACCTTTCTTCCTCTTGGCATCTTTGGTCGAACCTTTTCTGCAGACACACCTAGCAAGAGAATTCTGATAGATGCTGCTTCTTGCACTGCTTTCTCACTGAGAAGACGAACACTCAAACCTCCCACAGCGGCCTCTTCAGTGCAATTCCTCCCACAATTTGGAGGGTCTTGCTCGGGTAGGGATGAAAGTCCTCTAGATTAGCACGGCCCACAGTGAACTCACAGCTGTAAGTGCTCTCTTTATGGCAAAGTACTGGCTTCCCCAAGTGTGTGCTGCCATACATTGAGCATGCGTGTCTTATTTAAACAGGAAGACCAAAGTCAGGTATGCAGGAACCTTTTCAGTAAAGACAGGATAAGGAAGTGTGTGTGCTGTACACACAAGGAAGAGGTAGCAAAGCTGTCTCCAGTTCAGATCTACCAAGAGTCATCCTAGGAATTCCCACCATGTGTGCATATTTCTGGACTTCAGACTACCACTGTGAAATGCTGACCTAACTGAATGATGTCCAAAAAATAGAATATCCAGTGGATAAAATATTAGGACTTAAGCACAGGAGGCCTGGCTTCAAGTCTGAATTCATCTGTTCACTCGGGACTTAAATTTGTTCCAAGTCCTGGAATGAATTCCCAGTACCAGGGCCAATGCCTGAAAAAGCAGAAGCAATAAAAAAGTGCAGACTGTCTTTCTTTAACAAGCTTAAAGCATTGTCTGAACTTACTCACTGAACCTCTGTAATGTCTTGATAAACCATGAAAAACAAGAGTGTAGTGCGCTACATGGTCTTCAAGCTCCACATAAGTGTATGTTATGCATTTCAAAGTGCTATAAAAGTGATTTAATACTTTTTAAGCCCTCAGCAGGAGAGCAAAGGATATTAAAAAAACCTATTTTGCCCTTAATGCAAGAGATTCATTGCTTTGCACCATTCTCATTTCAAAAAGCCATATAAGAAAGTTCTTTCCCCTCATTCCTCAAAGAAAGAAGAACAGGCAGCTCAAAAAAATCCCCCCAAAAAAAACAAAAATCCAAGCAGCAGCATATAAGAAAAGAGCTTTGCCAAAACAAGAAGGGAAGTTTTAAAAGCATGGCTTCCCTATCTACAAACAATTGACTCTGAGGTGCAAAATGTACCCCTCCTCCCATGAGATCTAATTTTGTATGAACATCATGTAGTAATTTGCACCTTTCGTGGCATTACCTGCTTGTGTTTCACATGGCATATCTGGTGGAAGATACACATCCAAAAAGAATAGTCCAACAATAGTGACAAAAATCTTGTGGCTTCTTAGAATCCATGCAGCATCAGCAACCATGACCTGGGCCCCAGCTCCCACCATGCCCTGGGGAAAGTAACCCATATTGGTGCCTTCTGAACTTGGCATGCTCAGCCTTAAAGGGCTTGTCAGGAGGTCTGACCAGTTAGAACCTAAATTGCTGGCTAGAGCAACCAGGGGGGCCCCTACCCAGTTGCAGGGCCAGCCCCAGCTGTGGAAGAGCCCACAGCCCTGCTCCCCAGCTCCCTGAGATGCTTGCAGGCACGTTCAGCACAGAAGGTTATATCCAGATCAGAGTGCAGGTGCAACCAAGCCTGGACTGCTTGCTTCAGTAGTTCGACAGTTTTCGAGTCTGGCGACAGAGAAAAAAAGGGTCAGAGAACCTGCTGGAGCCAAAATCCGTGACTGGAGATGGCACCATTTCCTTCCTTCAACCCTTCCCCATCCTGAAATACAAAGGTTGGCGAGTACCTGTGGCCTCCTGTAGGAGGCACTGGTGGCCCTGGAGCTGCAGCTGGAGGAGGAAACTGTGTGCCAAGATGACCTCCTTGGCATGCTCTTCCTGGGCACGCAGAGTGAGGGCGTCCAGCAGCTCGGAGTTGTTGGATGTACTGCGGTAGTATAGCATATGCACCAGCTCAAGGGAGTGGATGTTGCGGCGCTGGCGAAAGACCTTTCAAAAGAACATATGGATTTCTTACCCCACAGAAAGCGAGGTCTCAGGACCCTCGGGGATGTTACACATACAGAACCTTTTAAAAAATACATTAATCTCCCACCTGCAGCCAGAATGGTACAGTCCACCCTATCACATCCACTGCATGTGTGCAGACCAAGATACATTAGCTCAGTAACCCTTACAATAACCCTACTGTGTAGGTCAGTATTGATTAACCCAGCAGGGAGTGTGGGATAAGCAGGGCCGTCTTAACAGCATTATGGGCCCCGGGCAAAGCAGTGTACTGGGGCCCCTAGGACAACTACAACTACCGTTAATTTTGGAAGTTTTCCAATTTTCCAAGGGTTAACATACACAGATTAGTATGGGGCCCACGGGCAAGTGCCCATCAGGCCCGTGCGTTAAGACAGCCCTGGGAATAAGGAGCCAGCCCCAGAGAGCTGTGATGCCAACTCACCCAAGAACACCTACTGGGTCAAGTTCAAGACAAAGGCAAGCTTTGAATGAGAGTGGGGAGGGTTATGTCTCCAAACTAATGTGCTAGCTGCCATTTATTCTAAAGACACAATTGTTTGGCAATAGTTATTTTATGAACTGTATTTATAGACTGCCAAGTATGAATGAATGACTTTATTTTATAGTAAAAATAAATACAAGAATATTAACACAAATCGGTATAAAAATGCATTAAAACAGGACACCTGTAAAAGAAAGTAATTAAAATACCAAAATGCCTACACTACAATAAGATCAATAAGTACAGTAAAAATTAAACTTTACATGGAGTAATTACGATAGCCTAGTTTAAACCCTGTGGACCTACACCAACTACATGAATGCTTGTGTGTGTGTGTGTATGCATATGTGCTGTATTTTACTGCTCAATGACAAAAATAAAGTCATTCGTTTATTCCTACTGCCATTCCTATTCCCCTATATTCAATTGAATTTTAGCCCTGTATTAGGGTTAAGGGTGTACACCAGGTTAGGGTTGGGGTTAGAAAAACGAGGTGTCCTGGTATACTTTTGACAGTTGGAATGTGTTTTGATTGGGCAGAAATGATGAGCTGTGCCAAGTATTTATATATATATATATAATAGTTGGCAGTAGTATACCTACTGCCAAGTATAATAAATTCTCCAAGCAGTGCTGGTCAAAAAGGCCTCACTAGTGCAGCACCCTGTTTCCCAGAGTGGCCAGTTAGCTGCCTATGGGTATCACAGGCCAGCTACCACCTGGGTGCCCTACCACATGATGTGAGGTGATTCTTAAGCATCAAGCCTTTTTGTTGGTGGCACCCTAGTTGTGGAAGCAATGCCCTTCCAAGAGAGGCCCCCCTGGCACTTTCATAGTTGCCATTTCAGTGCCTGGTGAATACCTTATTTTCCCAGGCTTTTTAGTCCTTCAGCTTTGTTTATAAATGCCATATTGTGTTTTTAGGTTTTTAACCTGTTGCTAATTTACACTCTAGTTCTTACTTTGATTTTATTCTGCTTAAATTTTTAAAGCTTTTATATATTTCTATCATATCGTAATTGAAGGTGAGTGTTTTAATTTTTGAGAATCATCCAAAGACTGTTAGGCTTTGGGTATAACAATGCACATGACAATGATAACGATGAAAATGATAAAATATTGGCTATACTCCATTCTCCCATCTGTTTGGCAGCGCAGACCTAAGACAGACTTTTCCAGCTGGGCACTCTGTAGAGGTACTGGATTAAAACAACAACTGTTCCTGACATTGGCCAACTGATGTTATTTGTAGTCCAAAGTCCATCTGAAAGGCACCTGATTGTATCCTAAGTGGAGGGACCATGTTCTTAAAGGAGCTATCTGCTTCACAAATTGTTTTTGCTATAAGGCTGTGGTTAGAGTCGCCATCTTCTGGAAACAGTGGCAATGTACATACCTTCCAAGCCCGGAAGGCCATTAAAGCTGCAAAGAAGATCAGCAGGGTCATGGTGCCAATCTTGAGATCAGAAAGCACCACCATCCCCACGTTGACAAAAAGGGCCAAGCCGCTCACTATGAGCATGATGTTGAGAAAGGTCCTGTAGAAGATGGAGGTGCGGACCTTGACAGCTGGCAACAGCTGCTCCAGGCCTTCCAGGGGAATATCCTTAAAGCATTTCAGCACCAGGTGGGAGTTCTTAGGCCGGGCAGCCACCATCACCCGTTTGAAGTAATGCCTGGATTGGGAAAGGTGAAAGGCTAAGGAAATGTCAATAGAGCGAAGAAAGTATTCACCGCTATCAAAGGCTTTAAAAAATGCCCCCCCGACATTCAGTGCAGAAAAAAATAAACCAGATTTCTAAACAAGAAAAGGTTCTCTTGTTAAAATCTTAAAGTTCAAAAAACAGAATTTCCTATGGAAATGAGCAATCCAGTCTTCTATCAAGAGAAATTTCAGCTCTGAAGAAGAAGCTTGTATCTTTATGAAGAATTCACTTATCAGCGCTCTTTTCCAAGTCTGAAAGCCCCTCCTGTACCTCAGTAAGCCTCACAAACACCATGAGCTACTGCTGCTGCTTCCATGACTCAGCTAGAAGCTTGTCACAGGAATATTACCAGGTCTGGCAGAGAGAGCACAGCTCAGTGGAAAGCTAGTGTTTTGCAAACAGAAACTCCTAGGTTCAACCTCTTCCTGGCATCTTTGCTTAAAATGATGATGAGGAAGAAGATCCTGGGAGATCCTAGAGCACCAATGCCATTAGTCAAACCAGGGAGTTTTGCGCCTCAAAATGTGGTGATGGCTACCAACTCAGGCTGCTTTAAAGGGAGATTAGACCAACTCTTGGAGATTGTCACTGCCAATGGCCCCTTGCTGTGATGGCTAAATATTGCCTCTTGGATCAAAGGCAGCATGCCTCTGAATACAGTAGATGAGGGCAACAGCCCCGATGTTCTGCTTCATGACTTGCCAGAAGCATCTGGCCAGCCACCACAGAAACTAGATGGGCCTTTGTTCCAATCTACATGGCTTCTTCTTATGCCTTTATGTCAGAAGAGACGAAAGATAGACCTTTTGTAAGGCAGCTTCCTGTGTTAATACCGAGTGAGCATGGGCTTTTTTTCTTTTGAGGGCCGTGCCACTCTCTGAAGTTGGCAGTGGACAGGGACTTTGAGTCAGCCCTTTTCTCTTTCTGCCACTTCTGTTCTCACTGTTCCTGCCACCCCTTTTTCTCTCCGCTTCTCTTCTTCCTACCTAGGGAACTTGCCAGGGGTCTGAAGCAACTGCCTGCCAGGAGTCAAAAGTTGCCTGTCTCTGGTATAGTGACTTGAGAACAAGTCCCTCAAAAGGATCTCAGGTTGGTAACAGATACGAGCAAGACTTTTTTCCTTGCCTTTCTGATGGAATCCGCGATGTGCCAAAGAATCCCCTGTGCTGGGACTGAATGGAAGTCATCACACGTAGTGGTCCAATCCGTTGGCCCAGAGCCCAGAATTTTATGTATTCATACTGATCCAGATTTACTGAAACCTGCAGAAAGGCAGACCTGGGATGTAAATGCAGTTGCTATTAGAGACAGTGGTGTCTGGCATACTATTGCTATAAGGGGCACGACCCCGTTCTTAGCATGAATGTTCTGAATTTGGGCTTGCTTACATTTATGTTTCATTTTCCCAATAAAGACATGAAAAAGATACAGCATAACATTAAAAGCTCCACAAAATTAGAAGAAAAACAAAGATTACAGAAAGGACCTCTGTCTCCACCAGGGGCATATGACACATATAGAGTGCAAGCATCTTAAACTGTGAAGGTAAACCTAAGGGCATTAAACAGTAAGTGCATGTAATTTTTAAATTTTGCTTTGTGCTATTGTGCTGTGTTACTGAGTTTTGGAAAAGATTCAGATAAATGGAAGGCCTATGATTTAGTTCTGTACAGACTTCTTTGGTGTGTGATCTTAAGAAAATATAAGAGAATTATATAAGGAAAAACCACAAGAAAATCCCATGCTTTGCCAAACTACTGAAGGATAGAGTAAAAATTGACTTTAATATGGGAGCTTCAAATACCAATACTGAATCTTTGATCCTGGCTTGCACCAGAAATCAGGTCTACAGTTTTGATCTCGGCCTATCCTATACATGCAGCAGAATAAGATGGCAGAATAGACATCTTCATATTAGGTTACAGATAAAGGAATGCCAGGTATAAATATTCTTCTTGGTTAAAAACTCCATGCAACTAGATAACCAGGGAGTCGTACGGCTGATGGGGAAGAATAAAAGTATCATAAATAAAGGCTGGGAGAGAAAGAACCTTATTCCTAGATATGTTGGATATGTTCACTTTTCATTAACAAATCATCTTCATCATTCAATAAACATTCAAACATGTAACCTGGAGACCTTTCTACTACCTTAGGATTACTGCAACTTGTTCTCCTTGCATTTATGTACAGATGTGGCTTTGTTAGGGTCTCAGAGTGTTATACCGAAGGAAGAGGGAAAGATCCCTCCCCACACAGACTGCACCTGGACTTCATCCTGTGGGTGGTGGACCACAAGGGCATAGGCCAATGCTTCCTCTGACAAGCTATTGAAGTTGGCCTGATCCAACAGTGGTTCCATCATGGCCAAAACTTCCTGTTCTTTCGTTAAACGCTCTGCATCAGTCAAAGAGAAATCCTGCAGTGTGTCCTGGTCAGGATTAATAGGTGCATAGAGAGCCTGGAAAGGGAAGAGATAACCAGCAGTGTTATTCAAAGGACATTATTAGCACTTATACAGTATTATGTTGACCTACTTCCCAGAATGTCACAGATAGCAGAAGGGCTAGCAGGCTGAAGGAGGAGGAGAAGGGACACATCTTCCAGTGCTCCATGGCAAAAGCTTTTGAGTTCCTACAGCCTGCTGAGAGGTTTGTAAAAATAAAGCCACATTAGTCACTTTATTGGGCTCCTATAAAAGGTAGTATTAATCCTAATCACAGTGGCCCCTTCTAGGTCCCAATCCCCTCTCCATCTTCTGCATGTGGATGAAGAAATTATTCAGAAAGACAAGTCCTTGCGCTGAGCGTGTGTCTTTACCTTTAACTGCTCCAGGATGGAGTGATACTGGTGCAGAAGGGAAGAGTCCACATGAGAGACAAAGGCCAGGAATGAGTCTTTATCTGTGTGTCTAGAAGAGTGGAACTCCTGAGGGAGAGAAAAGGCAACACAGCTGTGTCCAAAAGGGGTCCAAAGCACGAATCTACTGATAGAAATGCAGTTATGTATGTAAAATGATGGATTCTTCCCTCTCTATAGGAACACTTTCCTATCTGACAAAGAGATGGCATGCTTGTACCAGAAACCCTCCAGACATGAGCCATTCCCATATTAAAAGAAAAAACAACATACAAGTTTTTGCATCCAAGTGGTAAAAACAGAGTTCCAGAATATCAGTATTACATTCCTGAACTATCTTTCCATTCAGGATAGCTAGCAACTCTAATTTGTTCATTTCACCCCTTGCAAAAAATAATTTGTCACCCCCTTTTTCTTGTTCTCCTTTCCACCTGAAGCACACCTGAAAGGGCCTCCCTCTCCCAATGTACTTGCTACAACACATTCCTTTCTCCCATCGTTTTCCTCAAATGTCACTTTTCAATGAGATCTAAACCATCTTTATGTCATCTAGTTTCAAGTTTTAAATCCTTAAATGTTTTGCATCTCAACTGTCTCAAGGAATGTCTCCCCTCCCCACACACACACGCAGCCAGGGCTATGGGATTTGCTAAAAAGGACCTGCTCCATGTTCCATACTCTCATGAGAAAAGGTTCCTCCACTGGGAGCAGGGCATATTCTGTTGTGATGTCAACTAATTGAGATGCACTTAGTACATCAATTAGTGCGTTCACCTTTGCAGACTCCTTCCAGATATTCATGACATGGTAGGCATGTCGTGAGTGGAGCCGGCTAGAACCAGGGGTCAGACTAGATGGCCTGGGAGATCCCTTCTGACTTGCTCTTTTTCTATGTTTTTTGGAAATAGGTGAAGACTTTTGCCTGTTATTTGGAAGCCAGTTGTTTATTCATATAATACTGTTTTAACGGAACATGTTGTATATTCTGCATTGTTATTTTGTTCCATACATTATGATAGTGTGCTGAATGGCAGTCTAGCAAGACTGCTTATAACTGAACACAAACCCTACCTGGCCCATCCAATGTCATTGAGGTTATTTTTATACCCAGACATTAATTTGTTATTATCCAAGTTCTTTGCACACCCTGCTTTGGCCATCTAACAGAGATTATGCTCTCTAGGAGGCCTTAATCAATTCTGCTTAATGCAGCACCAAATGCACTTGTAGCCCTCAAGAGCTGTTAGAGCAGGAACTTTTAATTCACTGTTTCCACATGGAGCATCAGGCTATACCAGCTCCTTGCTTTGAAAGAATGTGAAAAACAGTTGCTTTGAAAGAATGAGTTGTAGCTAGAAATGCAAAGACCTAGGGAAAAAAATACAGAAATAATACTTCCCAAAAATTTCTGGAAGGCATGGGGGACAATCCCCCAGAATTTTCCACCTCACTTTTTTTCTTTTTCCTCCCCGGCTTTCCCATTTTTACATTTATTTCATGTTATATTCCTATCCCACCATTTTTCCTTTCAAAGTATTCAAGGCAGCTTACATAATTCTCCTCCTCCTCTCAATCTTATCATCACAACAACCCTGTGAGGTAGGCTGGGCTGAGAGTCTGTGATGGGCCCAAAAATACACACTTGGCCCCATGGCTGAGTGGGGACTATAACCCATATCCCCTGAATCCCAGGCCCATTTTCTTACACCACACTGGGTCTCATCTCTAGTTGTATTGAAAACTGTGTAAACTCCTTGCTAAAAGACCAAAACATATATGTTCTGCACCAAAGTAACTCAGATTCTGGCTTGAGTATCTGGAATTTGGATGAGTCATGTAGAGTAAGTAAACTGGCGCATTTACTGCTCATCACTAATTCTTTTTGTGCTAGCTATAAGAATACAAGGAGCAATTCTTTCCCAGCCCCTAGTGACTGAGCCCAGTTGCTACCTCTGAGATTGCACCAATCCTGTGAGGGAGAATTCAGAGTTCTGAATTCAACGTGCACTGCACATTCACACATAATATCAACACAGTGCCTGCTTGTACCTTTACTAGGGCATCAACCAGCTGATCCTTAGAAAAGGGGATATATCTCTCCCGATAATCCGTTGCCCAGTCTTGAGGCTCCGTTGGTTTCTTCAGCTTCCGGTATTTCACCATCTTGGCAGCTAGGGAGGCCTTGCCACGAGCTGGCAACCGTATCACCCCGGCCCCTAGGGCTAAGCGCACCACACACTGCATCCTTAGCAAGTCTGAAGGTCAACAGGCAGGAAACAGTGCTGTCAAGGCATGGTTGGCTTCCTGTGCAAAGCTCTTCTGATGAACACTATTCTGCAAGTGGGAGACTTCTGTCATAGGCCATGATTGGGAAGAGTCATACACCACAAGCCTGCTCCAAAGCAGAGGCTCAGCCAAGCCAAGAAGGATCTTTACCACTTGATGAACTGTGAGGCAACAGATGTTTGCAATCACAACCGCAGCCAGAACGGAGGTCGCATGCAGAAGTTACAGTGCATCACCCTGAAGGTCAGGGTCAAAGCAGTCAGACAGGCGGTGGAGAAGTTGAAAGTTCACTGCTAAATAAGCGGCGTGTGGGCTGAACAGATGAGGTTAAACCTCGCACATTGCCGCTCTACTCAACGCCCGATCAACTTACAGACGAGGCAGTTATTCGTTCCTCTCCGGGCAACAAAAGTCTTTAAATTCACTTTGGACCAATTCCAACGATGGGAAAGGAAAAGAAATCCACCCTTAAAGCACCAAAAGTGCAACTTATATATAGAACTGTCAGTGACATTGTCACGCATGCGCAGTTCCTCCCTTCCCTTCCGCCCTTTTCCTCTCCTCCCGATCTTTCAAAGGCTTTCTGCCCTCCTTCCTTTCCCTTCACGCGATACGCTCGCACCTTTGCTTGTCTATGTTTGCAAGCTGAGGTCGAGTATGTACCATAGAGATAGATACTCATACCACAGTATAGGCTTTACCGATACTCCAGGCTATACTGGCTTCCCTCAAAATTTCCAATGCAATGTTTGATAAGAATTTCACCATATAAAAACTAAGGTAGGAGCGACGCCACTTCGTGACCATGCAGCCTTGTGCACTCTGATAGCTCTCTCTTTTTAATCAGAAGTTCGAGTTGTTTGCAACTCTCTTTTTCTATCTCTATAGTCAAGTGACCGCTTTGAATTCGGGCAAAAGAATGCTTCAATTCCCGACTACGCAGGTGCAGAGCCTTTTCTCTCTCTTCCCCCCCGTCCTTTTTCTAAACCGCGCGTGCGCAAAATGTGCCTCACATACAGCCTGGCGGACGGACTGCGACTGCGCGCGCTTGTTGCTCGGCCTTCTTAAGCGCGCGGATCTCTGTAGGAGCATCGCGTGCAGCGCGCACTCCTTTCTTTTCCTTCAACAGTCGTTTCCAACTGCCTCGTCCCGCGCCAACGTTCGAAAACAGGAACGTGGCTGCTGCCCAGCCAATCAGGCTTCGAGTTCTGTCACACGATGTCTTTCTCTTCTCTTTCCTATATGCAGGGAACGGGTACAGCCTAAAGAGTGAAAACAGCCCCTCATTTTCCGAGAAGGGGGGGAGTGAAGGAGGTGGGTTTCTTGAGGGATCTGAGAGGTGTTGTGCTTTGAACACACTGGAGGGGTATAAACTTAAACGACTTTTCCATTTTTGAGGAGGCTCAAGGGTTCCGCTCATAATGCCAAGAAGAGCAAAAGAAGGGACATAGTTGGTTTGGATTGCATCAATGCAGGCAGGACATACATAGCTATTGAATCACAGAATAGCAGAGTTGAAAGAGGCCAATATATAAGATACATGCATCAATAAACACATCAATTGAATAAAGTAAATCAATGTATGGTGGGAACAAGGAGTTAACAGCTGTCAAAGGCACACTACACTGAGGGAGCTGGTTATTTTATTTGCTTGCATTTGTGGTTGTCTCGTTTCTCAAAGCAGCTCAGGACTTACGTAAATGTTTGCCCTTCTCATGCTGCATTTTTAATCCTCAAAACAAATCTATGTGATTGGGTTGAATGAAGGTGACTAGCCGAGAGTCACCCAGCAGGACCTGGCTGAACAGAAACTTGAACATAATACAACTTGCTCTGAGCCTGACAGACATAACCGTGGCTGACAGAAGAGTGGCTCTCACAAAAGCAGAAAATAGGGGTGGGGGCATATTTTAACTCACATTTACTTGTGACATTTGAGATATAAATCACTTTGTTATCTGCCCCTATACTTTGGTGATATAAAAGTTTACAATCAAGTAGAAGGAAAACAGTTTTATTCTGCTTAGTCAGTGTTGAGTAAGGCAAAAAAATGTTAAGCTTTCATGCTCATAAATTGTTTCCAAATACATGAAAATAAGAAGCCAGTAAGATTCTCAAGGTATTTGTTACACAACTAAGTACATTTTGGCAGGAAATGGAAAAAGGCATACAAATCAACTTTAGCCATTGGTGCTTGTTTGGCTACAGGAGCTTCCTTATAGTGAAAGATGCTGTCCAATAATTTCTTATCATTTACTGTATTTCCCTAAAAACCTGAAGCACAACTTTTTTTAATATGACTTTGGGGTAAAGTTGTAAAAATGAAATTGCAGCCCATTACACTTTCAGAATCCAAGAATATTTCCAGGTCATCTTGGCTCTGGAGCGTATCTCAGATTAATAATTGTCCCAAAAGTACATGGCCTAAATTGTACCAAAATAATCTCATTCCAGACTAAACTATACTCAATTTAAATAATATAAGAACTATCGTACTTTCTCAGGAGGATGGCTACAAAATGCTACTAGTCCTTTTATATGCAATCAAAAGAAGGCATTTCTTCAGTTCTTTAACCAAACCATATAATTCTTGTTAAATAAAAGTATCTGACAACCACAATAACTGGGGGGTGGGGGAGTGGAGGGGGAGAAGGACAGATTCCTGGCAATTAAATTTCATTGTGTTCAATTTTACCACAAAGTACCATTATGTCATTAAGGTTGGCTATATGATTGGCATATTGCATTTTTTAATTTTAATGGCTTCATTTTTACCCTATACTATTGCACATACACATGTGCGCACAAACACACACATGTATATCTCTACACCACTTTTGAATCTTCAAATGTTGGCAGATAGGATCTTAGCAGGCTTTGTATTATATGCTTCTAATCCTCTTAATGGTTCCACATTTCCATTTCCAGCAAGCCTACAGTTCCATCTTGGTTCTGGTGAAACAAAAGCAACTACAGGATGAAGAAAGCAGTTTCAACACTGCAGGATTTCTCAGATCATGACCTAGTGCACTTCCTCATAAAACCTCAGATAATTGCCAGAACACTAGCAGGGGTAAGAACAAAAAGACAATAAAACAAAGCAATGGGTCCATCACTTTTAAATACAAGATCACATGTAGATACTGATGGGTTTGTATCAAAAAGAAAACTCTCTCCAAGTAGTTCTAAATATTACACAAATACTGTATAATTCAAAGGATGCATCCCATTACAATACGTGTCATTAGGACAGCATGAGACTCTGGAGTATTTACAAGTGGTCCTCCATTTCTGTACCAACAGTTACAACTTGCACAAACCTATGCTATCTACAAAAAGCATACAGTTGCTATTTCCAACTAAGATATAGTCCGGGGCTTTATATGCAAGGCAGGCTGGTTTTGCTGATGCCATAAGAATATGGGTTGGATTTCCTTCAATTTTCACTCATACTCCTCACTCCCTTATTTATAGTAGAACTCTCAAAAGTTATGTATATCTGGTAGTTGTGTTTCCCATGTGAATTTCATTCTGTGTAACCAATACTACTTTTAATACAATTTCTGACTGAACATTATTTATCTTTCCCATGCTATTTGGAAAAATAAAGTTTGTATTTTTACAATACTATATTAGTTTTCAAAATACTAACCAACTCTTAGGTTCTAGGCAGTATAATATGTCTTGGATTAAAAAGAAACAAATGCCTGCTCACATTTCTTAAGTTCAAGAGCTTTATTTGAATGGAAGGATTGTTTAAGGGTGTCAGCAAAATACCAATCAGCTCTGCAGAGCATCAGAGGCTATATCCTGAGTTTCTTTTTTGCTGGGTGGGATGTGGGCAATAGCCAGCCAGTGAAAACCTTGAGTACAGCCCACCATATATTCCCAAGCTCCTGAATCTCCACACATGCATGCCACACAGTTGTTTTGTGGACTGGCTGGAACACAGTTTAGCTGGGGAGGAAGATAGATAGGATTGACTCTCTCTCCACATGTACCTTCCTTCCTCCCTTTCCCAATTGTATTGCAGTGTGTCAGCCAAATAGTTGCTTGATGGACTGGCTGGAATGTAATTTAAATAGGGAGAACAATGTATGGGGACACATCCCATTTAAAATAAATTGCACCTTCCCAGCTGATTAGTACTGGTGTGGGGACAGGAAATTGAAAACTTCCCATCTGTATATTAAGATGTAAAGGGGGAGGGGGATGATTAGATTGTGTGATTATAACATATTTATTTATTCACATCCCTCTGTTTTTATTTCAAGGAAATTAAAATGGTCTACATAACTCTCCTCTCAATCTTATCCTCACAACAACAACCCTGTGAGAAAGGTTGGGCTGAGAGTCTATGACTGGCTCAATGTCACCAAATTAGCTCTATGGCTGAGTGAGAACTAGAACCCAGATCTTTTGAGTCCTAGTACCACACTTTTAACCACTATACCACACTGGTTGAAAGGGATGGAGAAGGTACCTTGTATGTGTTTAAAACTGGTCGGAAGTGGAAGGCTACATGTATTTATATATGCAACTGAATGAAAGCAGAGGTTAAGATGGCCATATCCATCCTGAGCATGCAGCCTCCAACCCACCACTTATCACTACATGTATGTTGTGAGTGGGGAAGTAGACTTCCTATTTATCATGCCATCTTAGACTTCAGGGTTTTCATTCTTGGTGAGGTTACAAAGATGGGTTCATTATAAAAATGTATTACATAGGACACATATAGTACTTCAGCATTGTTTTGCTTGACTTTTCTTTTTTTGCTTTCTCCTGTCCCAGGTTTTCTCTCTGACTATCTTTGCCTCCTTAGTGACTGAAGGGTATCAAAACCTGACAACCTCTTTCCACCTACGCTGTGTTTTGAATGATAATGGAGCAGCCTGCTGCTATGGCATCACTGTGGGGGTACTCTCCTTCCTCCAGTGCATCCTCTTTCTGGGCTTCGATGTCTATGATGCTACAGTTAATAGTCACAAGTTCAAGTATGCCATTCTTGTACTGGATGTCACCTTCTCCAGTGAGTAGCCTTCCTTACTACCAAGCCATGGGGTGGAATTTTGGTATATGTAATAAGCAGATATGTGCTTGCCTGACACTACCCAATACTTTACTGAGGCTTCTGCTTCCATTTCCTTTGCAAGAGGAAGAATATCTTGTTACCTGACTTTTTCAGGATTTTTTCCTTTGCCTTTCTTTATGTTCCATTACACTCTGCAGGGTGGTGCAGTAGCACAGAGCAACATTTAGACTTTGCATAAGGCTTCTGTAGCAAATAATGGTGGCATCTGGAAGAATATTGCATTATCCTCATTTTTTAAAAAAGCCATGAAAATGGCTGGAAAACAGAGGAAAGACTGTAGGAGGATGACAGCATTGTGTAAAGGACCCACAGACTTCTATGAGTGAGGAAGGCTAATCATGTGAGGAAAAAATGTACAATAAATGCCTCATGTCGAAAAGCCCAAAATGTGTCAGCCTCACTTGCTCTCCTATGCTTCACCTGCAGTTTTTTAGGGGTTGAAGGAGGATATTCTGTGGGGTATTCTGTTTTGCTAATTTCAGCTGCTATTGTGATAGACTGAGTATACAAACTTGCTGCCATTTTGAGTACCCTGTATCTAATCTCCCAGATTCACTTTTTCAGTTTAAAATATCTGACTACCTCCATTCACTCTTCCCTTTGCTACCCAATGGAGCTCTCTAGGATTGTCTGTAGTCTGCTACATGCTGGCCCTAAGGACATCTTAGAACCATCTGAGGTCTCCTGCAACATATTTGCTCGACACTTTCAGGAGAAAATACCTTGCACTCAGCAGGACTCCAATTTATTTATTTATTTGGTTTATATCCTGCCTTTTTCCTACAAAGGGCTCAAGGCAGTTTACATCATTCTCCTCCTCCATCTTATCCCCACAACAACAACCCTGTGAGGTAGGTTGGGCTGAGAGGCTGAGACTGGCCCAAAGTCACCCAGTCGGCTCCATGGCTGAGCGGGGACTAGAACCCGGATCGCCCAGTCCCATGCTCTTAACCACTATGCCACACTGGCTCTATTATTGCAGTGGAATCAGGTGAGATATCAAGAGCACAGCCTTGTCAAGTTTTTTTTTGGATGAGTTCCAGTTACTACAGTTCCAAGATGTTAACAAGATGTTTGGACAGTTTGTAAGATCAGATCTGTACAGGATCCTTGCCCCTCTTGGCTAATAAAAGCTAGCAGGGAGGAAGCTGCCAGCTGGGCCAGGGAAAGAAGATTAATGCCTCTTTATGTGAAGGAGTGGTCCCTTGCCACTTGAAACAAGCAGTGGTGAAACTACTCCTGAAGCAATCCTCCCTGGATCCAGTAAAGTATTTCAGAAGGATTTACTGCCATTGATTAGTACTAGAAATGGTACCAGATAGCTGAGCAATATTTAGGATCAAGGATGGGATCCACATGTAGATTGTAAATGAAGGCAACATTTCAGGGGAAACTAATCTAGTAAACAAATACAACAACTAACTATCTGAGCCTAGAAATTTTCCATATTATTAATATGACAGAAGTATAGAAAAAGGAAAAGCCCAATCTCCATATTGTTCTATATTCACTTTATCCACATATAGAAATGCTTTTACAAAGCCGTTTTCCTTCAGAAGAGAAGGTTACCCACAGATGGGTTACTCTTTCTTTTTTCTACATAGGCAGGACTATTCAAATTGCTTTAAACATTAGTTCTGTTTGGTGAGAGAGTTGTGATCTTGCCTGCTTTGAAGCCATGGGGCACTTTGTTTTTCTGTCATTTTTCTGGCATTCTACTTGAAACAGCTTTCCCCACACTTTCCTTTCCACAGATTTGTGAAATAATAACAAAGGATTTCTAACTCCCTTTCTTCCTCAGGTTTCATGGCAGCTATGTCTTTAAATGAGTCAACAGCTCTATGTGAATGGTCAAGGATTTTTTTCTTTCTCACAGGCCCTGAACAAAGTTGGAGTGACCCAAGTGAGTGAAGGAGGAAACAAGGATTTGTGACAGATATAGTTTCATCCATGGGCTCAATGTTAGTCCCAGATGTAGAGGAAATAGTTTTTCTGGTGCATTGAAAAAAATAGTTGCCTTCTGCTGCTGCTGTGTTTCCAGAATATGGGGTTAATTCTTGAGACAAAACAAGTCAAGATTTCCTTTCCCAAAAGAGGAGAGACAGATCCTAGACCTAGAGACCATTTAGCATAAGAGACATGCTGGGTCAGACCAAAGGCAGAATTTAGTGCAGCATTCTGCTTGCACTGTGGCCATTTAGATGCCTATGGGAGGCCCACATACTAGACATGAGAGCAGCAGTACATTTTTATTTGTGTTGATTCTAGAGGTAAAATATAATCATCATGGTTACTAGTCATTGGTAGCATTATCTTCCAGGAGCCATTATTACCTCTTGTGGGAATAAATTCCATAATTTCACAATGCTCTGTCTGAAGAAGAACTCTATTTTATCTATTCTGAATCTCTCACTATTTGGTTGGTTTCATGGAATGAATTTGGATTCTGATATTTTGACCAGGGCTGGGGCTTCCATTAAAGAAAATGAGGAGGTACAGTGCAGGCATGCTGGATTGAGCCTGCTTCCACCATTCTACTGTCCCAAGCATCGCCTTTGCACTATGCTTGTAATAGTGCTTGGAATTGTGGTGAACTGTGGTGTTGCTAAACGCTTCTTGAGAAAGTATTCTCTCTGCTTCAAGCTCACTTCTCATTTCTTTTAAAAGATGTAAGCTACAAGGGCAGGAATCAGTCCAGAAATCCTAAAAGCCCTGTTAATTTTCCCCTCCCCCTTTTTCATAGTGCTGGTCCATGTGGGGAGCCAGAGGCAGAAGCAGCAGCACAGATGAACTTGTTCCCTTTCACTGCTCTTTTGTAAACAGTGTAACAATTTTCATTTTAATTTTGTTTTCTAGTTCCCTGACCCATCCCTACAGTTTAGAAAGGATAAGCTAGGAAGAAAACTGCAGGAGTCATAAAAAGGTTTTTTCAAGGCCATTTTCCTGCAAGGAACCCAAGATGACCTACATAATACCACATTCCTCTTCATTTTATCCTCACAACTCTATGAAGTAGGTTTGGCTGAGAGTTAGTGACTGCCTGAAAGTCATTCAGTGAGGTTCATGGGTGAGTGGGGACTAGAACCTAGATCTCCCAAGTCCTTGTCCAACACCCTAACTGCTACACTATACTGGCTGTTGGTGTTTTAATTTCCCTTCTTTTTAGTCCCCCATTCCTTTCTCCTAGTAATGTGGTTACATCTTTCCCATGGTATGTCTGTTTCTCTAAGATGGAAAAATCCCAGAAGTTCTGTTTTGCATATACTACACAGTGGCAATTCAGAATTAATGCTAAAGAATCTTTCCCTCTGCACTGGAAGCTGTGAAACTCAAATTTTTCAAAGAGGCTGAAACATCCAAACATTCACTGAGAACTCACCCTGTAGTTAATGCAATCTTATACATATCTACTTAGAAGTATATTTAATTGGGCATGTTCATGTCATACTAACCCACACTGGCAATAAGATGACCAGGCTCACTGTAGGTTGTGGGACCCATTCTCCCCGCATTAGCCTTTCCATGCAACCCAGGAGACCTCTGGTCACTTGGTCCTTTTAGAGATATCCTCCCCTGCAGCTGCAACCATGAGCTTCTGTAGGCTTATCATGGTTTTCTTCTTATCACCTTCTTTAAGATAGTTAAAGCTGGCTGTCAAGACCCATTTAGGCAGCTACAGATAGTGCCCCAACCACACTTTGGAGGGGCTGCGCATGGTTGCCAAGCATAATTTTATCCCCCTTATTTGCAAACAAAAACAACTCTGCACTTGTGCAACTGCAGATATTTGCAAAAATTAGAGGGGACAAAAGGGTAGTTTAAAAAGGTCTGGCAACCCTGGGCAGCCCCTCCAAAGTTCTGCTTGGTACTTCGCACTTGCATTTCAATTAGACAGTGGTTTTCAGCCATCTAGATGAAGCACCAGAGAGGAGAGGGAAGGAAGCTAGAGTGCTATTTGGATATGGTATAAGCTAGTGGCTTCAGCCTCCTCCCCTTCCAGCATCCCCCTTTAGCTGTCCTCAAGATCAATTTCCAGCCTTGAAGAAGCAGTCAGCATGGTTCTTTCTGCACCAGCTGCAACAGTGGTGGGGCAGGGGCTCCACGTTCAGACGCCCAGCTTCAAGTTTGCAGGATCTCAGAACTGAGGCTCCAATCTTAGAGGTCTCAGATAATATCAATATCAGGAGACCATAGGATTGCACCCTAACATTATCATGCCATTTGCCTTGTAGGCATTCTCTGAGCAAGACTCCTTTAGAGTCAGAATATGAATACATAATAAATATGCAAGGAGAAATAATGAAGTACTGTCTTTTGCAGTACTTATAGACAAATATGAGGGGAGAATGTATCCTAAATTTTGGCATTTATAAATTAAAAAATCTGAACCTGTTTTTTACAGAAGCACTGAAACAGGAGAGTTTAGACATACTGCAGAGTATATCAACTGTAAAAGACATGAGTCCTACAGAAAATTGGGAGCAGTGAAGTATTTGCTTTGCTGACTGACATCACAGATAATAGGAAAGTGGCATGGGAGTACTTAATGGATTGTCATCCACAAATTGCCGCAATAGGACCTGTGTGCCATGGGCTAAACTTGCTTCTTAATTAAATCATGAAACCTGCCAAAAGATCTATAGGTGAGAAAAGAAGCTCTACAACATGTTAAAGCCACTCATGTTGTAGTTGCAGTCTTCAAAAAGAAGGAAGGAGGAAAAAAGGCAAGGATAAAATGGTGGCGTTGAAGCTCTGCAATAAAACTAGATGGGAAAGAGAAGTGATTTCTTTTGAAAGTTTACCAGAATACCAAAGAAGTTTTTCAACAAACAGTACTAACTGATGATTTAAAGCATCCAGAAATGTAAGGAATTCTACAGGATGTCTGATGAGGAAGGATGTCTTCTGGATTCAGCTGCAGAACTCCCTGAAAATTC